TCACTCCTGCAGCAAGCGGGCTGGCCAGGGTCAGGGGCTGGCTCCAGCCCTCAGCGGACCTCAAGCGGGCCCGGCCCACACAGGGCAACCGCCCACAGGCCCAGCCTTACAACATCCCACTGGTCCAACGCCGCGGACCCAGCCAGGCTCAGACCTGCACGCACAATGAGGAAGACCCAGCACATTCCTTCTGTCATAGCTCAGCGCTTCTCACACAAAACAGACCAAGCTTCTGAACCTGGAGTGTCATTAACGCTGGAGCTCCCTGGGTTGTGTCTGCACGTCCCACGCAGGTATCCTATCGGACGACCCAGCTCAGGCCGGACGTGAGCTACTGTGGAGGCAGGGAGCGCTCAGCCTTGCTGGGATGGCTGCCGCCCCCGCAAGGTGTGCTGGAGGCCCTGCCGCCTGCTTCCTCTCCAACGCTCAAGGCCTTCCAGCCTCCGTCCGCTCAGATATGCACTGAATACCACGTTAGCTTATGTAATGCTCTTTGGACTCCCTTTTCTCATGTTCCTTACAGAAAATCAGAAACTGCACTGAAATCACTGCTTTATTTTCCTTTCAGAAAAAAAAAACAAATAAGCGAACAATAGAATAAAACAGTAAGTGTGCATGCCACCATTTATCACAATGTAATTCCTTGGCCTTTCCTGTGTAGTCCACTCTTAATCACCCACCTCAGTAAGAGAGGACAAAAGTTCAAAATTCACTTTGAACACTTTGAAGTTTTCCTTTTGGTACTTATATTCCAAAGTAAATGTCCACACTGCTTTTCTACAACGTAATAATAGTGACCACATCCAAGTGTAAGGGTCTGTCCCCCACAGCTGGACAACAAGCCACAGGCACAAAACGGAACAAAGAACATGACCTCAGCACAGAAGCAACCTATACGACTTGCAGGAGCCTGACTCGCCCTGACTCACCGCGTGCTGAAAAGGCTCAGCTGTCTGTAGCTGTCAGTGGAAACAGAGTGTTGAGGTATCAGAACCAATTCCTTCTGTTTTCTTCATTAAAGCCCCATGGTGAGTCCCCAGGGACGGAGAGTCCGTAAGATACCGGAACCTAGAATGGCCAAACTGGTAACCAGCGCCTCTGCCAATGCTGATGTAGCCAGGCCTATTCTTCGCAGACAGCCACACACCTCTGCACGCGCCTGTAACAACCTGCGTGCTTCCCCATCGCTCCCTCACAGGGGCCCCCGCACCAGTCACAGCTCTGGACACCGTATTTTACTTTACAAAGTTATTTCCCCTATCAGAAGGTGACCCACAAAAGAGAAAAACTTTGAAGTCAAAACATTTTTATAACATTTTACATCTTTTTCACATCATTTAACAAAAATATGAAACATCAACAACCCCCAGATAGCACTTTCTACTGGCAGGCCTACTTTACTCCAATGACACAACAAAAAGCAGGAAATGGCAATGATGGAAGGGCAGGAATCATCCAAGATTAAAAATGATCATTTTGACTGGGCACGCGGTGGCTCATGCCTGTAATCCCAGCACTTTGGGAGGCCGAGGCAGGCGGATCACTTGAGTTCGGGAGTTCAAGACCAGCCTGACCAACATGGCAAAACCCCATCTCTACTAAAAATACAAAAATTAGCCAGGCATGGTGGTGGGTGCCTGTAATCCCAGCTACTCGGGAGGCTGAGGCAGGAGAATCGCTTGAAACTGGGAGGCAAAGACTGCAGCAAGCCGAGATCCCTCCACTGCACTCCAGCCTGGGCAGCAGAGCGAGATTCCATTAAAAAAATAATAATAATTTTATGATCAAAATTTTGAAAACTCACAGAAAACAAACAGACAGAACCAAAACCAAATGTCCAAGCCTGGCAACTATGAACAGGACGAAGCAGAGTGCGGTGGCAGACGTAGCAGAAGTGTGTGTGTGTCAAGGTGGGGGCTGGTGGCAGGGCACTCTCCCAGGGCTCCTTTGCCACACCTATCCTTACAGGTAGCTCTGCCCCTCCCCAGATGGACCTGGGGCTGTGGCCCTGTCTGCAACCCAGGCAAGGCCCCCTCCTGGTTACCTGCCTCTGCTCTCCCCGCCTCTCAGACCCTTGACAGCCCCACCCACTTCCACTGCAGAGCTCCCAGAAACTTCCAAAATTACACTCCCAGAAAGCCTGGTTAAGGGAGGGAGCTGAAATTCTCCCTCATGAATGACGAACAGCTATGCTTCTCTTCTGTCTTATTTCATGCCACTTATCTTTCTATCCAGGGAAACGATAAACCACGCACGCATGAAACACAGATTCTCTGAGCATCTCCAGATCCAAGCTGTTCTTCGTCTGCTTCCTGCCATGCACTGTGCAGTAAAGAATGACGGGCCCTACACCAGCACTTTCTTACATCTCGCTATGACGTTTTCACGTCGCTTACAGAATACAGCTGTCATTAGCGCACTTCCAGTTTGCTCTAATTTACGCCAAACATGTTTCATTTAAGAAGCACTTCCCCGTACGATGCCTTCTAGCAACGTCGTAAGTAAGCACCCTCAAGTTCCGTGAGAAGCCTGGACCCACAGCCTCGGGGAAAAGCTTCCCCACCTCAACCCAGGTCTCTAACTCCACACCCTCCACACCCCCCAATGCCTCCATCTACAACTCACACACACACACACACACACACACACGCACACACAAACGCGCGCACACACACGCACACACACACTCGCGCACACACACGCAAACACATGCACACACACAAACGCACGCACAAACACACACACACGCACACACACTCGCGCACACACATGCACACAAACACATGCACACCCACACAAACGCATGCACAAACACAAACACATACACAAACACACACGCACACACATGCACACAAGCACATACACACACACCCACACATACGCACACACAAACTGCAGAGGAAAGGCAGCACACCAAAGCACCCAGAAGACAAATGTGGTTACATCCGGAAGTCAAGCATCAACTTTTAAAAACATAAAAAGCTATTTTGAATAACTTTTAACTTTACTTCACCCCCAACTGTCTACAACTAATGAATTACAAATAACACCTTATACAAATGACTTTTCTTACTGCTGAGAAATCCTGGAAGTCTTAACTGACAATGAAAATTTACAGCCTCCATAACTGCCGATGTTGGCTGCTAAAGACAACAAATAGATGCTGTGCGCGACAGAGAGGGACAAAGTATATTTTATAAAATATGCCACGTGTAAACCTCAGTCATCATCTCTCTTTTCTAATAAAAATTATTTTCTACAAAGCAGGTGTTCAAAACATATTATTAATCAGCAGCGGTGAAACTGTTCCTCCTCGCAGCATTCCACTGCTATAGCAGCAGTGAAATTGTTCCTCCTTGATTCCAACTATATGGAAATCAAGTCACTGCTGCACAGAATCTAGAATACAGACCAGTCCGTACTCAGGTTATGGTTAACCAGAGAAAAGAATTAAAACCCATCGCATCTTGAGTCAATGAGAATTTTTACCTGTAGCAAAAGTTAGTGACTGGAATCAGTATTAGACGGCAGCAAGTTCGTCCACCGCTGCCTGGGAACGTGACCTCCTGACCACAGTCTGGAGGGTTACTCAGACTTCACCTTCAGTGCCCAGGGGCCCATGGAGGGGGAGTGGGACCAGGACAGGTGGGCAAGGTGCCTGCGGACCTAGGGCAGCTTTCCTCAGAATCTACCTTGGTTTCTTGGGCACCAGCAGGCTGTAGGGTGCAGGGGAACAGGTGGAACGTGGGGGGACAGCTGGTGTGCGGGGGACAGCTGGGGTGCAGGGTAAATAGGTGGGGTGTGGGGGGACAGGTGAGGTGCAGTGGGACAGGTGGGGTGCAAGGTGAACAGGTGGGGTATGGCGGAACAGGTAGGGTGCAGGGGAACAGGTGGGGTATCTGGGATCAGGTGAGGTATGGGGGATCAGGTGGGGTATGGGGGATCAGGTGGGATGGCAGGGAGACAGGCAGGATGAACAGGTGGGGTGCAGGGAGATAGGTGAGGTACAGGGAGACAGGTGGGGTGCAAGGAGAATAGCTGGGGTATGGGGAACAGATGGGGTGCAGGATGAACAGGTGGGGTGCAGGGGGACAGGTGAGGTACAGGGGAAACAGGTGGGGTGCAGGGGGACAGATGGGGTGAAGGGGGACAGGTGAGGTGCGGGGGGACAGGTGGGATGTGGGGGACAGGTGGGTGCAGGTGGAAAGGTGGGGTACAGGTGGAAAGGTGGGGTACAGGGGGAACAGGTGGGGTGTGAGGGGACAGGTGGGGTTCAGGGAGACAGGTGGGGTGTGGGGGGACAGGTGGGTACAGGGGGAACAGGTGGGATGCAGGGGGGCAGGTGGGGTTCAGGGGGACAGGTGGGGTGCGAGGGGACAGGTGGGGTTCGGGGGGACAGGTGGAGTGCAGGGGGACAGGTGGGGTGCAGGGGACAGGTGGGGTGCAGGATAAACAGGTAGGGTGCAGGGGGACAGGTGGGGTGCGGGGAGACAGCTGGGGTGCGGGTAGCTGGTGGGGTGCAGAGTGAACAGGGGGTGGTGGGGGAAGGGGGGGGTAGAGGGGGACAGGTGGGGTGTGGGGAAAAGACGCCGGCTTTCCTTACACCAGTCCTTCTCTCCATCCTGAGGCGGATCGCGTTATTCTCCGTTACCGGAAAATCTAAGTTACTGCACGACCCCCAGGCGCAGCCCGCTCGACCCTCCGGCTCCTTCAGCCGATTGGGGTTCGCTCCTGACCCTGGGGCCAGGGGTCCCTGCTGCCAGTCCCTGCTCCCCCCGCCCAGGCCCGCGCGGTTATCCTGCGGGGCCGGGGGCGCCGCGGAAGGGGGAGCTGCTGGGGGGGGTCTCGACCCCTTCCCTGAAACGTCTGCGCAGGGGGTCGGGGGCGCAGCCACCTCGGGGTGGGACCCAGCGTCTTCGGGGGAGCCGGGCAGAAGTGCAACTCTCCAAGGAAACCAGAAGCCCGCGAGGGGACCCACGGCCCACGGGGCTCACACTCACCTCGGCGGCCAGGACGCGGCCCGCAGCCCCCTGCTGTCCTCCGGCGTCCCCCGCGTCCCCCACGACCCCGTCCGTCCCGGACCGCGCGCCCGCCGGCTACAGGGATGCGCCCGGCCCCTCCCGCCCGGACAGCCGGCTCCACCCACCGCGCTGTCATTGGCGGGCCCAGACCGTTCCGGGCGCCCATTGGCCGCGGCACCTGCCGGTTTCTCGGCAGCGCCCTGCCCTCGCGCCCGCGCATTCCTTCGAGGCCACGTGGCCGCCCGCGCCCCCTCCCGCGGCCCAACGCCCCGCCCGGGCTGCGCACGCGTGGGAGGGGGCGCGCGGCAGAGGCTCCAGCCCCGGGATCATCGCCTGCCCCGCGGACCCCGGGCCGCGCGCACTTGGGGAGGGGGCGCTGGGCAGACCCAGTGCCCTCCCCGCCCGCAGCATCTGGACCCTCCCGGCAGAGCCTGCTCCCGGCTCAGATCTGCACCCCTTGGGGAGGGGGCGCCAGGCTGACCCTAACCCTCTCCCAGAGCATCGCCCCTCTCTGCGGACCCCCACGGGCTGAGCTCATTTGCGGGAGGGGGCGCCGGGCAGACCCTCCCCCTCCCCCCAGAACATCGCCCCTCCCTGCGGACACCCCGAGGTGCGCCCACGCGAGGAGGGGGCGTTGGGACCCCACCCGACCCGTCCCTTGAGACCCAGTCCCTCCGTCCGCAGCTGGCCCTGCCCACAGGGCGTTCCGGGTCTTCCGCGCCAGCTGCCCTGGACCAGCCAAGCCTTGGGCGTTTGGAAATGCGATGACTTCAGCCACGTTTCCGAGGCAGTTTTTGAAGCTTGCTTCTTGCCAGGAAGCGCTCGTTTTTCCCGGGACCTTTCCAGCGAATGAGTTATTGGAATTGTTTTCTTTGAGCATTTATTTATCTTATACCTTTAAAAAGGAAACAAATTATCGTTATAATTACTATTAAAGAAAAAAAAAAAAACAGAAACAAAGATATTTTTAACCAAAATAACTGAAGGATGTTATCTATTACCTGGTCAGCACATTTAACACGTGTGTTCTCAGATGCTGGATTTATTCTTACGCCTTGTCCTACCCAAATCTCCGAATCATAGAAGTAATTTTAAGTCAGCGTTTTAGAACAATCAGACTTCTTAGAGATTTCTAGTCCCTTTCACTTGTTTTAAAGAAGAAATACAAAGAGCTATTTGGGATGCGAAGTATCACGAAATCAATCTAAATATTAACTGCCCTTAAGGCTTGTGTGCTCAAGAATGTTATTTCCCTGAAAATGTTGGACTACATAAAAATCATAGTCAACATAGAAGGACTACAATGGTTGGAAAAAATAACCGTAGGTAAGGTGATATGTTTTCAATGTTTATTATTCACACTTGCTAATTTTATGAAATCAGACTGAGTTGTTTTTATGAATCAATTGAAAAACGTGTTTCCTCTCAGCCACCTTAAGATTAGAAAACTTATTTTAGGTTTCTATTCCTAGGGTTCTTTGGGTACCTTCTTCAAAGGTCTTCTGCACAGACAATTAATGGTCTTGGTCAACAGAAGTAAAAAGGTCAACTGAATTAGTTCTTGTTTACCTAAATACGATGAGAAAATCCTGATACTTGTAATGTTTTCTAAAAAAGTAGACTAGAGATAAGAGGAAATAGTCCTGTGTATGGAATAAACAACTCATCATTTTCACCTGCCCTAAACTCAGGGCAGCCAGGGACGCTGTGGAGTAGGGCCACAGGGCAATGCCTTCCAGGCAGGTTGGGCAGAAAATCCTCTGATTTGGAGCTCCGATAGGTCTGTCTGCTTTATTCAGGCGTTCCTCACAGATACATCCCTATTTTCGTAAACCCGGATATGGAAGAGTTGGGATTTTCCATTGTGATTCCCTCTTTGACCCATGGGATATTTAGAAAAGTTAGGTTTACCTTTCAAATATTTGGGGACTTTCTGGTTTTCTTTTTATTATAACTAAAGTTTAATTCCACCGTGGCCTTAAAACATAATCTATTTTATTTTTATGGCTTAAGATTTTCAAACACTTGCTTCACGGTCCAGCATTGTATATTTTGGTAAATGTTCTATGAGCACTTGCTAAGAACATGTTCTGGTTTCACTGATGTAATGTTCTGCAGATGTCAATTAGGTCATATTTGTTACTGATTTTTTTTTATCTGCTTGTTCTATTGGATACTGATAAGGGTGCATGAAAATATTCGACTCTCCATAGTCTGTTCAGCATTGTACTGCAGCATCTAACAAGTGTTATAGGTTATGAAAACAAAAAGTATAAGGATTGAGGGAGGAAAAACTGATTATTTATAGACCATATGATTATATATGTTTAAAAACCCAAAATTATCTACAAATAAACTATTAGGATTAAAATAGAATTTAGGAATTTCAGATGGATCATAGACTTAAGTGTAAACATTATAAAGTTTCTAGGATAAAATATAAGAAAAGATCTTATGGATCTTCAGGTAGGACACAAAATGGACCAACCATTTAAAAATGATTCAATGGCTCATCAAAATTTAATATTTCTACTCATCTCATGACACCATTAAGAAAATGAAAAGGCCACAGACTGGGAGAACGCAGGGGCAATGCACACATCCCACAAACAACTTGTCCTAATCCGTGGCCACAGACTGGGAGAACGCAGGGGCAATGCGTACATCCCACAAACGACTTGTCCTAATCCGTGGCCACAGACTGGGAGAACACAGGGGCAATGCATACATCCCACAAATGACTTGTCTTAATCCGTGTTGTGCTGCTATAACAGAATACCTAGGAGTGGGTGATTTACAATGAACAGACGTGTATTTCTCACAGTTCTGGAGGCTGCGAAGTTCAAGATCAAGGAGCCACATCTGGCAAGACCCTTCTGGCTGCATCATCCCATGATGGAAGGTGGGAGGTGGAGGTGGGGAGGGAGGGTGCAAAACAGACCAAACTTATCTTTTTTTTTTTTTTTTTTTTTGAGGCGGAGTCTCACTCTGTCACCAGGCTGGAGTGCAGTGGCATGATCTCGGCTCACTGCAAACTCCGCCTCTCTGGTTCAAGCTATTCTCCTGCCTCAGCCTCCCGAGTAGCTGGGATTACAGGCACATGCCACCACACCTGGCTAATTTTTGTATTTTTAGTAGAGACAGGGTTTCACCCAAACTCATTCTTTTATAAGGAACCCACCGCCTCAGTCATGGCATTTATCCATTCATGAGGGTCATGCCCCCATGACCCCGACACCACCTATTGGGCACCTTCCAACACTGCTGCATTGGGGGCCAAGTTTCCAACACATGAACTGTGGGGAAAACGCATTCAAACCATAGCACCGGTAAACAGAGAACTCCTGCAAATGGACCATGACAAGACAAGTCTATTTCAAAATGGACAAAACAATATAACAATAACAAGTCTATTTCAAAATAAACAAAAGACGTAAATACTTCACCAAAGATGTACTGATAGCCAATAAGAACAGGAAACAGTGCTCAGTGTCATCCAAAGTAAACTCACGATGACATGCCCCCACCCTCATCCAAGCACGGCTGAAACTGAAGACCGACATGGCAAGTGTAAAAATGGCCACTATCCGTGGCTGATGAGAGTGCAAATGACGCAGACACTCTAACTGGCCATTTCTCAGCAATCCCACTTTTAGATTTGCCCAGGGCAAGTGTAAACATAAGTCCCTTAAAAGACTTTTACAGCCAGACATGGTGACTCACACCTGTAACCCCAGCACTTTAGCAGGCCAAGGTGGAGGACTGCTTGACCCCAGAGTCTGGCATGATGGCATCCACCTGCAGTTCCAGCTACTGGGGAAGCTGAAGTGGGAGGATCACTGGAGGCTGTAATGAGTCATGTTCATACCACTGCACTCTAGCCTGGGTGGACACAGCAAGACCCTGTCTCAAAAAAAAAAATGACGTTTACAAGAATTCTTTCTTCACAACAGTTCAAATGCTTCAAAACTGGAAACAACCCAAATTCCATTAACAGGTAAATGCATAAAGTATGGTATCTTCATAGAATAATAGAATACTATTCAGTAATAAAAAGGAAGAAACGGATATGCTCGATAACAGATGAATCTTCGAAACATGAAAACAAGAGACCAAAGGGCACATATAGTGTGATTGCATTTTTATGAAATTCAAGAATGTGCCAAACCAACCTGTGATAACAGGAAGAACAGTGGTTACTTATGGGGGAATCGTCTCAGAAAAGACAAAGGAACTCTGGGGAGTGATGAAAATGGTGACTACATCTTGATTTGATTTGCAGACACATGGATGTGTTTGCTTTGTCAATGGAATCAAGCTGAACACAACAGTAAGGTACTTCATGGGATATACACTGTGGCCTCAATGCATCCCCCTTGATGATTGAAAGTTCATCAGCGACGTGATCGCAGTTAGAGGTGGGGCCTTTAGAGGTTAGTGGGTCATGAGAGGTGGGCTTAGTGCCTTTGTAGAAGTGCCAGGGGGCTGTTCACCCCTCCTACCAGTGAGGGCACAGTGCTCAAGGTGCTGTCTTGCAAGCAGAGACCAGGCTCTCCCCAGACACTGACCCTGCCGGCACGTTGATCTTGGACTTCCCCACGTCCAGAACTGTGAGAAATAAATTTCTGTTGTCTATAAATGACCCAGTCGCTGGTGTTTTGTTACAGTAGCAGGAACAAATTAAGTTACGTATTGATAAAAAGGAGTTCTAAAAGCTGGGTTCCTTTTAAAAAATAATGATTCCCTTTATTAACAGAACACAAAATATCCCTTGATTAACTGCAAGTTAAATTAAGTGCAAGGTCTATGCAGAGCGTAGGGGTAATCTATACCCTAGCTAGGGCATTCGGTAAGGAAAAAAATGGCAAAGGCAGCCTGCCGGGTTCTAGGCCTCACCGCTACTCCAGAGACATCTTCATGCCCCACGCGGAGTGGGTGTGTGAGGTCAGCCCTAGCAGGGCCTAAAGGCATGGGCTTTATCATCAAATAGGCCCGGGGCTTCTGCCTCTTCTGCCACTGTATGGATGAACATGG